GCAGCTGAGGACCCTCCGTCTCCACTCACAAGATCCCCAGGCCCGTTGTTGTAGTGCACGTAGAGCAGCAGGGCGATAACATTTAGGATGTAAACATGAAAGAAGACCATGACCACGACGAAATAAGCCCGAGAGCAGACATTACTCCTCTGGATGTGTAGACGAGTGGAGCGAAACGGGGAATTGAAAGGTAAAGATGAAGGTTCGTCATTGTCGTCAAATTCGTTCTGCTCTTTTAGATATTCCTGAGCGGCTTCCATGTTGTTATTATAATTATTATTGCACCAACTGAAAGCTGGATATAAATATGGATAACTATTGGGTAAAGTTATAGCAAAAGTCAAAAGGTTTGGTTTGTCAGATGGCTCGACGTTAGTAAACCTCAACTAGCTAGCTACCTATGTAGCAAACTCGGCGGAAAACCTCTGACCGTTTCGAGAAAAATAAACCTTGTCGTCTCTGCCGCTTTCAGTCAAAGAAGTCAGACAGCTTCGCGCAAAAAAGCAGGTATGCCCACAGCCGTGTACTTTGTTTAATATATAATTCATCATTAACTGACGTAAACCTAATCCCCCTTTAGCTAACAGATGCGCTGCCCCTGACAACCTGCCTAACAACAGGACGGACAAGCCAAAGAGTCAAGATGGAGCAGGTCGTCGTTTCGGAAGTCTTGGTAAATCCATAGCGGCCTCTAATGGCGCACAGCCGAACAAAAAGAGCTTGTATTTAATTATTCGTTTTAAATGATTTTCGACTTTTCTCTAAGCTTTGCTGAACTACTTTGGTGCCCGTGATTTTACTTCTTCAGGCTCCACGCAGTTGACCGTCTGAGAGGTTTAGAGAGGAACTGCCTGGTGCAACAACTCTTAGCCTCCTAAGACCCGAACTTATCCACGACATGCATTTTTAATTTCTCTTTGATATTTGGGCATATTGGGGCCCGATGAATGTAAAAACAAAGAATTACCAGATTTTTTTTTACCTTATTTTTGTTTTTAAGAAAAATGAGAGCCACAAATGACAATATTCATTTAAAATTTTGATAAAACAGTAGCAGTATAATGTCCTCGTAAGTGGATATCAGGCCCATGTAGAGCAAAATTGAGTATTTTGGTCTAAATAACCCAAAATGTGATGTCCATATATGTGGACCGCAGGTCCTAGGAGGTTAAAGAGTGACTGCAGTAATTTTGTTAAGTTTAATACTGCCCCGTTTACGTTTTATTACCCTAAAAGCTGTAAAATGTTAATATGTAGTAGTCAAATCAGCATTCTGGGAGAAAACAAAGTGTTCCCTCTAAAGTGTATCTGAAGTAAGCTAAAATTTACTCTTCAGGTTATTTGTGTCAAACTCCTGGTAAAGTGTCTTGCTAAACAACAACCACATTTGTTGGACAGTTATTTTAAAGCATTATCTAACTTTGCTTTAATTTTAATTATTACTGGAACATAACTACAATTATATTAATAACCAGATGCATTATTCAAAGTCAAAAACTGCTTAAAAAGTTTTATAACTTTTTCCCCAAACAGTATTTTAATAATCATTCCTCCCATTTTGCTTCTAACATTTTTCGTTATATGAAATTCATAGATTTGATTCCATCGATTTTTGAGTATTACTCGTCTATTCTATAATGTCTCTGAGGCCAGTTTAAGTAATCTGCAAAGAGGGGAGGTTACAGAGACAGATGCAAACAAAATCAAAAGCAGCACCTAAGATATTTTGATTCTGGAAACTTTTACTGATTAGTCATGAAATAAATGCAGTCTCAGGCCATCTTTTAATTAACTATATTACACTTTAGGTAACAAAATCAATAATCACAGCTTATATTTAATATATTTATTAATTATTCATTCTCTAACACAAGCTGTGATTTGTCTTCGAATAATAATATTATGCATTTATTATATAGGGAGTGCAGAATTATTAGGCAAATGAGTATTTTGTCCACATCATCCTCTTCATGCATGTTGTCTTACTCCAAGCTGTATAGGCTGGAAAGCCTAC